CCCGTGGGCTTAGGCAATCCACTCACCTCAGCCTCCCAAAGGTGCGGGATTACAGGCTGAGCCACCGAGCCCGGCTTAAATATTTATATTTAAGTTAAGTTAAAATTGAACTCAAAATTTAATTCAAAAGCTGGACTTTTACAGACAAGAAGCTCCAATTACATATTACAGCAACAAAAACCTACTTAAATATCCAATTCTAGTATCTTCATATGACCACTAAATGATCATTTTGAGGGGGAAAATTGCTTTTGACTTTCATAATGATATAACTAGATCAGTTTTATAGTTTTATGACAGAAAAATCCTCTATAAAAATAGACTAAATGTTGTTTTAATAAGTGTAGTATTTTTAAGGTTGACTAGACAAAATATGAGGAATAAACGGCTCATTGATTGATTTAAAACAAAGATTTGTTAGGATAATGACAATGACAAGTATCTTCTAATTATAAGTAACTTTAACAAAATATATCTATAGATCACCTCAGTTCCCTTTTAAAAAAGACTTGAAAAGTCTGCAGAAAGTAGAGATTCTTAACATGTAATTCCTATAGAATAAGCATAGCAAATCAAAATACTTGACACTTATCTTTTGAAATGCACCTAACAATCAAGAAGTACTTTTTGAAAACATCTAGTTTTCGTATGTCTTCTAAGACATAAGAAACAGAATAAATCTGAATGATGAAAGATTGTTTTACTGCTTACTTACCATTGGCATTCTTATAATCCAGGCAGCAAAAATTAAAAATAAATAGGCAAATAAACCATTATCTTATTTAATAATGTTTCATATTCAAATAGGCTTCCTTTTAAAGTAACTTCACAAATTATTAGCAGATGGGTTTTCTCATACATATAAATGACCAGTATCACAAAAAAAGTACCTCTGTTCTCCCTTTGAGTCAGTAACACTAATGCTGACTTCGTAGTTATCCCTTCATAGTATCAGTCCAACTCAAAATCATGGCTTACTTCTGAATTTGCCCCCAGTAATCCAGGGAAGATTCTAACTAAATTAACAGAATATTTTTAGCTCAGTAGACTCTAAAGCCAAGAAAAATATCAGGACTTCAAGTTTGTGTCCTTTATTGGCATCTCAAAGGTTCAAAACTAACTCATGGATGTCACTAATGAAGAGAATAAGAATTATCTGGGTCAGATTTTATTTATTTTTTATTTTATTTTATTTTATTTTATTTTTTGAGTTGGAGTCTCACTCTATCACCCAGACTGGAGTGCAGTGGCCGCTCCCGGCCACCGCAGCCTCGACCTGCTGGGGGTCCAGCGACCCTTCCACCTCAGTCTTCCAAGTAGCTGGAATTACAGGTGCGCGCTACCACGCCCGGCTAATTTTTTGATTTATTGTAGAGATGAGGTCTCACCAAGTTGCCCAGGCGGGTCTCGAATCCACGGGTTCAGGCAATCCACTCACTTCAGCCTCCCAAAGCACGGGATTATAGGCTGAGCCACCGAGCCCGGCTCTGGGTCAGATTTTAAATGAAAGAGTTTAGGAATACAGACTTTTCTTTTTCAGAAAAGGGCCAGGTAGTAAATATGCTTTATCACCATCACAACTACTCAACTCTGCCACTGTAGCATGAAAACAGCTACAATGTGTAAATGACAGGGTATGGCTGGGTCCCAAAAAAACTTTTTTTTTTTTTTTTTTTTTTTAATAATAGTGAGTCAGATTTGACCTATAGGCCACAGTTTGTTAATCCATTAAGTTTAATAAATTGTGTAGAGGCGTAGCCTTTATGAAAAGAGAAAAAAATGTAACAAGTAGAAACAGTTATGAGACCACGGTATGAGCAGCAATTCTTCAAGTTACAGCATTAATTTCTACTTAATTTTTCTGCTACTTGCAACCTAATATGCTTTGCCACATATTTCAGTTGTTTTCTAAAGTCGATTAAAAATAAATTTTCCAGCCGGGCTCGGTGGCTCAGCCTGTAATCCCGCGCCTTTGGGAGGCTGAGGTGAGTGGATTGCCTGAGCCCGCGGGTTCGAGACCCGCCTGGGCAGCGAGACCTCATCTCTACAATAAATCAAAAAATCAGCCGGGCGTGGTAGCGCATGCCTGTAATTCCGGCTGCTTGGAAGGCTGAGGTGGAAGGATCGCTGGAGCCCAGCAGGTCGTGGCTGCGGTGGCCGGGAGCGGCCACTGCACTCCAGTCTAGGCGACAGAGTGAGACTCCAACTCAAAAAATAAACAAATAAATAAACAAATAAATAAATAAATAAATTTTCCTTAGAGTGCAAATAGGCTAAAAGAATTGGGTTAAACTTCACAATGGGAAAAAGCTCAACCTCATGGCAAATATAGGCCAAAATACGTTGTACTGGCTTTTGCCAATAATTTTTATTTCCAGTGTAAGAAAAGCTATATTTAACCTCAAACAGAATTTATACAAATTATTTTTGTATTAAAAAATATAAAGTGATTACTTACAATCATGGGAAGTTTACGACTATCCCGATACAGGTTTGTGTAGCCAACATAAAGCAGAAGGGCAGCAATGCAGTACAGAAACACAAAGACTGCAAATGTAACATAGAATTGTGCAGAAGAGGAGTAATCTCCTATGAGGACTTCACTTTTCCAATTTACATCACACGCATTTACGACTGGATGTGACTCAAATGATGCCTGATTCAATCTATTAAAATAAATGTATGAATTACTGGACTCTCCCAACAGAAACAGAACTACTTATGCAGAATACTGAAATGACATTTCAAAAAATACTCCTACCTGCATAATGAACATTTGTATACCTAATCCTGAATTGTAAACCACATCTTTAAAATAAAATAAAAATACCCCTAAATGTCTTTTAAAAATTCCTTCTGGAAAAAAGTATAATTCAAATATTTAAGTAAACTAAAATTTTCATAATAAATGTACATCATTTATACCTGGCAATTGGTTTATGACAGATTGAATATACATTGAATTAAACACTTTCACACCCAGATACTATCCCCTTGCAATAAAAAATCAGCTGATTATACCAAAATAGTTTACAATTTGAAACATGATATTCCATTCTAGGAGGCAGAGTCTGTGTGGCTAGCCCCAAGAGAGCTAATTATAACAATAATTCACATTTTAGCTCTGGATTAATTCGTTGCTAATTGAAAATTAACACCGCCTTTAATTTTCCCCATCTATGAATTGTAAAAGTACTTATCACTAGAGATGCTAGTAGCAGTTCCTTGCACAGGAATTACAGGAGGAAAGGACAAGAAATAGAGAGGCTTTGAGGATTACTAAGCACTTGCTATCTGACTTGTCTTTAATATAAAGATTTTATTTGATAATCAAAACACCCTAAACAAGGTAATATTTTCGATTATTTGACCAAAAAATGGGGTCTTAGAGAGGTCAAGTATGTAAAGTTAGTAAGTAGAAGAAGATTCATAGCCTGGCTTATACAGAGGACATATTCAATAAACTTTTCAACAGAAGTCAGTCACAGAAGAAACACTCATTTTAGTTTAAAATTAAGAAAGTATACCTCTGTGCTAGTGAATAAAACATAAGAACTCTTCTCTTTATATAAATACATCTTTTTTTTTTTTGTGAGTTGGAGTCTCACTCTGTTGCCCAGACTGGACTGCAGTGGCTGCTCCCGGTCACCGCAGCCTCAACCTGCTGGGCTCCGGCAATCCTTCCGCCTCAGCCTTCCAAGTTGCTGAAAGTACAGGCACGCGCTACCACGCCCGGCTCATTTTGATTTATCGTGGAGATGAGGTCTCGTCAAGTTGCCCAGGCGGGTCTTGAACCTGCGGGCTCAGGCAATTCACTCACCTCAGCCTCCCAAAGGCGCAGGATTACAGGCTGAGCCACCGAGCCCAGTTGTAAATACATCTTTTAAAACTATATAAGGATATTATTATTCCGTAATTGCAAAAACCAGAGAATCTAGATTTTCATAGGCCATGTTTCCTTCTACATTAGGGTTTCTCACATTAAGGTGACAGAGCAGTCTCTATTTTGTTTTTCTAATATCCAATCCATTGTTAGAATAAAAATGTCAGGGCAACATCACTTGCTATAGAAGTTTCTGAATGTTTACTCTCACAGTCTGTATTATTTTGGCACAGACCAGAAAATGTTTTTTAGACAGGAGATGGTCTGTGTACCACAGTTTGAGAAGTAATGATCACTTACGAATGAACATGCAATCTAAAATTTTCTACCTCCACAATCAGTAAATTGGTGAACTCTTAATGAGTCAATATGAAAGTAAAGTTATTAAATCATAAAAACAAATAAATAACTCACCTGAATGGATAACCAAAAGTAGCTGTAACAGTTTTATTGTCAGTAATTGTAGGAGGGCAACTCACTTGAATTTCTGTTTTGCCTTTATAACCTCCACAGGTGGCAAAGGCAAAGATGGAAGCAATCTACACAAAGTGAGACCAAAAAAGAAAAAAAAAAGAGAAGGATTACTACACCCCAAACGAGGGTCATTAAAACTGTAAGTGCATATTAGAAAAACTGTCCCACCAGCCTTCTAGAAATTCTTCTTACATTTAAATAGAGAGATGGGGGTCTCACTGTGTTGCCCAGGTTGGAGTGCAGCGGTGCGATTAATAGCTCACTGTGGCCTCAAACTCCTAGGCTCAAGCTAACCTCCTACCTCGCCTTAGCCTTCTAAGTAGCTGGGACTATGTGCATGTGCCACCACACTTACATTCTAGAAATTCTTAATCACAAACGAAGACAGTAAAAAACATTAAAAAATTTATTTGCAAATCTCAACAAATGTGATTTTCCCCTAAGCATAATAGAAATTAGTGTACCAGCCCACATAACAAGTCATTTGCTCATACGTCAGCATATTTACTAAATATTAAGTATAAAGTAGAGAGGGTGATTCAAAAGGGGTGAATTGAAGTATTTTTGTCAGGGGTCTAAGTTACCAGTAAGCTATAAAACCAAGAAGTTGTGAGCAGAGAAGAGATGCTACTTCATAAGCTTGTAAAGCCTCACTTTGGGGTATTTCCAGGTCTCAAAAAGTAGTTGGAAACTTGTTTTCCTGATCATGCATATGCTTTAAAAAAATATAGTGATGTTCTCTCAAAACAGAAGAAAAACTGGAAACATCCTAAATGTTGATAGGAAATCAAATTATAATTTATACAACTGAACATTAGTCAATAAAATGTTGGAGATTAACAATATAGAAAATGTTCATTACATACTAAGTATTAACACAATGTATGTACATGTATTTACATCTATGCATACGTACAACAAAAAACTAAAAAGGTTATGCATCAAAAAATTTTAACAGTAGTCACTTAACAGAAGATAAAAGATAATTCCTTTTTTCTATTTGTACTTGAAAACTTTCAACAAAACAAAAAAAAAATCCAGAAGTACTGTAAACACCAAGCACTCAATCCTTCCGTAGACAGCAGTGGCTGGCTCTATTTTCAAAAGATATGTAGAATGTGACCACTTATACCACCTCTTGATCTAAAACTACCATCACCTCTTGTTTGGACTTTGTGCTAACAGTCTTCTAAATTACTTTAATCCTCTGCTTCTGTCCTTGTCCCAGTTTCAGTCTTCATTAACACAACAGCCAGGACAATCTTTTAAAAATATAAGGCAGAAAACTGAAACTTCTGCTCAAAATCCTCCAATGGCTTCTGAGTGCTCTCTGAATAAAAACCAAAGTTCATATAAAGGCCTGCAAGATCTTTTCCTCCCTTAATACTTCTGACCTCATGTTGTTACATTTTCCTTTATCTAATTTCTACACAAACTGGTTTCCTTGCTATTCCTTTAATGACAGACACGGGGATAAACTCTTCATTCTGGCTTTTGCACTAGCTATTCCCTCCGTCTTGCATACACAGTTTACTCCCTCACTTCCACAGCTTCCTGTTTCAGGATGACTTTCTCAGACAGGCCACACTAATCAAATAACAGAGTCCCCACCCCACACTACCTACTCCTTTACCTATTTGACACAGTACTTAATTTGTTTGTCTATTTTTCCCTAGAATAGAAACTTGAAGAGGCCAGGGAACTTTGTTTTGCTCAAGGTCAACCCTCAGCAAACGGTAGGAGATAAAATTCAGTGCAGATCTGATATCAGAGCCTGAACTACTGAACACTTGATACGATGCTGCCCATGGGTTACTCCAGGGCCTTGAATCTTGTAGGCCATAATCAGCATCATTATAATTTTAAAATAAATTTTCTTTTCCCATGAAGAAGAGGTATATGAAAAGAATCTGGTTACGGATATGAAGAGTCTGAGGTAATGCCCAGCACAAAATTTGGTGGCTTATGTTGAAAGTCTGTAGGTGATGCCTGGTTTTTACAGTATTTTAAAACATGTAAAAATAACTTTTCTTGGAAAATGTATCATAAAGTCATTTTTCATTATTTGTGTTAAATAGATAATATCTTACATTAAAAAAAGTTAACAGGTGAAGACAGAAGAATGGATACTCTCTCAGAATAAGTATGTATGAATACAGAGTGAAAATAAAAGGCCAAAAATGAGTCCTGGGTATATACCCACATTTAGGATTGGAAAAAGAAAACGAGATGCAGAAATTCAACCAATGGAGTACAATAAACAGGCCAGAAATAGATTAGTGTGTACAGAGAAATTAGATCTAAAAGAGATGACCTGTAGATCATTGAGGAAAGGAGTGTGGTGGTTCTAAAGATATGACCACTAACTCTTTCATACAACTCCTATCAAGAGGTAGAGTTTAATTTCTATTTCCTTGTGTATGAACTAGACAGAGTGACTTACTTCTAGAGAATAGAATATGGTACTGTAGAAGAAGTGAGATGTCTTTTCTGAAATTGAGTTATAAAGATTCTGTAACTTCAGTCTCCTTTTCTTACTCTCTTGAACTTTCTCGTTCTCTGGAAGAAGTCAGCTACCATGTTGAGAGGATACCGGGCAACTTACACACACTCATGTGGTATGGAGCCAAGGACTGCCAGTAACATGATTGAGCTTGGAAGTGCATCCTATGAGGCTTGGCAACAGTCATGTGAGTGAGCTGAAGGCCTTGAGTTGACTGCAGCCCCAACTAACAGCTTGACTGCGACCTTATGGGAGACCTAAACCAAATCACACAAGCTAAGCTGCTGTCAGAAGCCTGATCCACAGAAACTGTGAAATAATAAATGTCTGTTGTTTTAAACTGCTAAAAGCAGGGTAATTTGTTATGCGGCAATAGGTAACTAGTACAAGAGGGACTGTGCAATAAGTGGTCCAGAGGAGCTGCAGACATAAATGTAAAAAATCTTTTAAAAATTTAAAGACAATATAAAAGAAAAACCATGAACACAATGGAAGGGAAGAATTTCTTACAACTTTTTTTAAGCCGGGCATGGGGCTCACGTCTGTAATCCCAGCACTTTGGGAGGTGGAGGCGAGAGGATTGACTGAGTCCAGGGGTTTGAGACCAGCCTGGACAACTTGGCGAGCCCTCGTCTCTACAATAAATCAAAAAAGTAGCTGGGTGTGGTGGTGTGTGTCTGTAGTTCCAGCTACTTGGAAGGCTGAGGCAGAAGGATTGCTCGAGCGTAGCAGGTCGAGGTTGGGTGGCCGTGAGCGTGCCATTGCACTCCAGCCTGGGTGACAGAGGGAGACTCCAACTCAAAAAAAAAAAAAAAAAGAAAATTTTTAAAAAGAACTAACCATAACAGATTGTTAAATTTAACTACAGAAAAAGAATTTTTAAAAATCTAAAGTCAGCTTTTGAATGTAAAAATATTTTTACATTATAAAGTAATAAACATGTCACAAGGAATTGACTAGTATACAGACAGATCTAAGAGAAACCCTTGCTTATGTGTAGTAATGACATGTATAAGAATGATTATAGTGATACTGGTTACAATATCAAAAAATGGGGAGCGAAAAAGCAATAAGAAAATGGATAAAATACCATAGTATATTCTTACAATGGGAAATCATATAGCGAAAAAAATACAGAAATTATAGCTACTCACATCAACACAAATGAATTGTAGAAACAGTGCTGAGTAAAAAAAATACAGAGTATGAAACCATTTTTTAAAAAGTTCTGTTTAGTCTACAAAACTTCCACCGCTGTTTCTGTTCAGGCTCTCACCATTTTTTCCCCTGGGACTAACCCAATAGACTCTCCTTTCATTTCCAATCTCATTCCAATCACTGCTCATCCTCTGTAGTGGAGGCTCTAAAGTTGCATGGCTCAGTAATGGAGCCAATAGCTACTTGTCACTCTTGAACACTTTACACATCGCTAGTCTAAATTAAGATGTACTCTAAGTATAAAATACACACTAGATTTTGAAGATTTAGTATGAAAAAATGTAATGTACCTCATCTATAATGTTTATATCAATTACTCATTGAAATAATAATCTGAAGAGATTGGATTAAATAAAATATTAATTAAAATTAATTTCACCTGTTTCCTCTTACTTTTTGGTGTGGTAAATAGAACACTGAAAATTACTAAGTGGCTTGTATTTTTGGTTCCCATTGTATTTTTTACTGGACAGAGCTACTTTATTTTAGTTTTTTGAGTCAGAGTCACACTGTTGCCAAGGCTCAAGTGCAGTGGCACAATCACAGCTTACCACAGCCTCGACCTCCTGACTCAAACCATCTTTCCACCTCAGCCTTCTGAGTAATCGGTGCTACTCAGGTACTATAGTACCACCATGCACGGCACCATGCCCAGCTAATTTATTTTTTTTGTAGAGAAGAGGTTTCTTTTGTAGAGAAGAGATTTCACATGTTGCCCAGGCTCGTCTTAATTCCTGGGCTCAAGCAATTCCCTCATCTTAGCCTCCAAAAGTGCTAGGGATACAGGTGTGATCCATTGTACTTGGACCAGAGCTACTTTAGAGTGATGTCATATTTATCTGAAATAAAAATCTGATCATGTGTCACTCATCTAAAGGGATTTTTTTCAATAGTTTCCAGACATAAAAATTTTTTAAAACACTAAACTTAATTATTTCAAATATAAGATATCACTAACCTATCCTCAACTTCAGCCTTCTAGATTTATCTGCATTATACTCTCTGCCAGGTACTGCATGATTTTATCATCATACTACTTACTGTATGTATTTATGTCTTAGATGTGCCGGGGATGCCAAAAAATTGTATACACATTTTAAGAGATGTTATCTTTGTATTATTTTTCGAAGTTGAATTATGATAGCAATGTGTAGTATGACGTTTGCTCAAAAGATGGTGTTAATCAAACGAATGCTGGCATCACCATGCAACAGGTAGGATGGTCAAAGAAAATGGTGGAAGCACAGTCGTTCAAGGAGCACAAGACCATTTTGAAGTGGTATTTGATTTAACACCCCTGGACTTCTACCTATGGGGGACCTTAAACCATGTGTCATACCATAGGAAACTGGCCACACTGGCAGTACTTCGAAATTGAAACGGTTTGCGTGCAGTAATCCAAGTGGACATTTTGGTAAATGTTGCTCAAGCAGTAGTTTGCCATAATCAGAAGTGTCTGGATGCTGATGATAACTACTTTGAGCACCTCTTGTAATTGCAGAAGTCAAACATGATTTGCATTCATCTTTTGTTATCAGTATATATTATTACAATTTTAATACAATTCTTTCCTTTCTTAAAATGTGTATACATTTTTTTGCCACCCTGTGTATATGTTTCTTCTGCTGAGAATGCCCCCATTCTCTAATCAGCTCATCTTTTAAGGCCCTGGTCAATCCCTTGGGGTAGAACTTGCTATTCTTCTCTTCAGGGGTCATACACATTAATTCTACTATATATTAACTCTACTACAGGCATTTTTCTTATGTATCTTTCTTTATAAAAAGCAAAATGAAAAAACTAGTTTCCTAATAAATACAAAATTAACAAATAAATAGCACACTGCACTATAGTCTGTTGCTTTGAAGACTATCACCTCTACTGCTCCCATGCCAGACTGTCCTGTCTTTGCACCTGGTCTTATTCAGGATTTTCAGAGCCCACCTAGCAGAAAATCTGAAAAATAGCAAGTGCTCAGTAAATAACTGCTTAAAGAAAAACATTAATTTCCAACAACTTACAAATAAAACCATATTTTGAATTTACATAACCATCATTTTAAAGCTGTCTTTTTGCTACAAGGAAAATAAATGTGATGTTAACAATTTTTCTGGTCACATATTATATATTCAATGCAATTGTATTCATATTTTAAATCCTTTTTCAGATAATGTTCTAAAATTTCTAAATTTTTTTGCCACCCTTTTGTGATCTGATTAAATAGTATGTGTTTTAACTGTGCAATATGGCTGGTCAAAGTATGTATTTTTTTTTTTTTTGAGCTGGAGTCTCACTCTATCACCCAGACTGGTGTGCAGTGGCCGCTCCCGGCCACCGCAGCCTCGACCTGCTGGGCTCCGGCGATCCTTCCGCCTCAGCCTTCCAAGTAGCTGGAACTACAGGCGCACACTACTATGCCCAGGACATTTTTGATTTATTGTAGAGATGAGGTCTCGCCAAGTTGCCCAGGTGGGTCTTGAACCCGCGGGCTCAGGCAATCCACTCATCTCAGCCTCCCAAAGGCGTGGGATTACAGGCTGAGCCACCGAGCCCGGCTAAAGTATGTATTTTAAATTAAGCAAAGAACAAAATTATCTGAGGGTAAACGAAAACTATCACACCTCTCCCCGCAGTCTGTTTTGATCTAGCTTGGAAGTTACATACTGGCAGCCCATGGGTGAGACTTGACCCGCAGATATCTGTAGCCTGAGGGTTAATATTACAGCCTGGTTTTCTAGAACACTAGTCTCCAAAATAGACTGGAATACTCAATTAACTGGTACAAGAAGAAAAGATTTAAGCTTTTTATATCACTTTCAGACTTCAACAAGGAATTAAAGCTTTATTACTTTAGTATAGCACTGAAACCCATGCTGGGCCTGGATGTTAGAGGGTCCTCTACATAGAAGGACAGACAGTGATAACCCAACATATTATTTCACTTATAGTGTTCATGTATTACAATATGAGTGTGCCTAGTTAAGTGGGTTTATAGAATAAATTATCTACCTAACCTTCACTACATTGACCAGTGGCTTTAAAATGTCCTCAAAGTACAGATTGATAACATGCATACTCATGTACAAAAGAGAAAATGGAAGCATTAATGGCTTATGAGTTACATTCATCAGATGTATTACAAGGTTAAAACAGATACTACTTAATCAGATCAAAAGAAGGTGCAAAAAAATTATAAGTTATCAGAATAATATCTAAAAAAGAATTTAAAATATGAATACAACTTGCACTGAATATATAATATACCTAAGATACAAACATAGTAAAATATGCATCTAAGTTATAGATGAATATTGAGAGGTTCTGTGCATAAAATTTACAGATAGGAGTTAATGATTAAAAAAAAAAAAGTAGGTCACATGTGCGGGCTCACGCCTGTAGCCGTTGCACTTTGGGAAGCCAAGGTGAGAGGACTGCTTGAGCCCAGGAGTTGCCCTGCTTTAGCATGGGCAACAGGGCAAGACCTTGTTTCTACAAAAAATAAAAAAAGTAGTCAAGCATGGTGGCACACACCTGGAGTTCCAGCCACTAGGGAAGCTGAGGAGGAATGGTTGCCTGAGTCTAAGAGGTTGAGGCTGCAGTAAGCTGTGATCGTACCACTGCACTCCAGCTTGGGCAGCAGAATAAGAGCATGAGTCAAAAAAAAAAAAGAATATGTAGACTGCTGGTATTTTCAATGAGTTATCTATCCTAAAGCCAGAGTCATAGTCCTAACTCCTAATCTTTGACCACACGCAATCTGAGGATTCTACTGGGGAACATTGGTATTCATCATTTCAGTATGTTTCTAGTTGCAGGATTCTCACTGCTATTTAGTTTCATCATTAATCTGAAATTATCTAAAATTTCTTCCTAAGGTTTAGTTTGTGAAAATGATATGACTTTCAAAATGATTTTCAAAAATACAGAAGTATATTATGTATGAGCATTTACATCCAAACCAAACGTATGCTGGCTTTACCAAATCAATGAACTATTATAGCATGTTTGCCTTTCCAATCATAAGACTAAATGCCTAGAGCTTAATTACTGATCTTATAAGCCAAAGTCTGAAATATTTACTAAAATTATTCATTTAAAAGTGTTTTGTTTTTGATGTTGATATTTCAGTTCATTCCCACTATGTAATGAAGTCAGTTACAAGAGTACTTCATTTTCATTCTACTTCCCTCTGCTTCTAAAGTGTAATCTTAGAAAGTTCTAAATAGCCTACTAGTACAGTTCCATAACTTAAGAATTTCAATTATGAGAAGTAAACTCTAGAGTTCCTGTTGAAATAAACAGAAGTGTTTTTGCTTACTCCTAATCATTATATGTTGATTTATGTCACCTTAAATCTTCAAGGAACCTACATATATTTATTGAAAAACCATTTTCCAAATGTTCTACTATTTTCATGTCTTTTGGAGTGAATCAGTATTCTGATTATTGATCTGGCTGGCTATCTTGAAGTGAGTCTGTCATTTAATGGAAAACTCCCAGTACTTGTTACCACAGATATAATTTGAGCTTTTAAGTAATCAATTTTCTTTATGTGTTTTAGGATATTTGATGTAGGCTCAACTTGATGGTCCCCCCCTCTCCCTTTCTTCTATCCCTGTCTAGTGGTTTTATGGTTATTTCTGCTTGGCTTTCTGAGTCCCCTAGTCCATAGACATCACACCTTATGATAGGACCCCCAAACCACCAAGTCATCACAAATCCAAGACTGTGAATAGATTGGTCCAGGTCAGTTATACTTTTAAGTATTCAGCGCTATGTAAACCATAAATCCAGATAGCAGGTTTAGCTTTTTCCAGATTTAACTCCCAGATTTGAGAATAGTCTTTCTCCCACTCATATTTTGTGTTATGTTCCTGGCCCCCAACGTTGCTTACCTTATATTAAAACATCAATTCTCAACGTGTGGTCTGTGGATCTCTGAGAGCTTCCAGGACTCCTTTAGGAATCCACAAAGGTAAAAACTATTTTCATAACAATACTAAGACATTATTCGCATTTTACATCGTGTTGATATTTGCACCAATTGGTGGATTTGGTGGATTGCTGGGCTTTGGTAAGAATCAGCTGTAAACAAACTGTATTTCACTGACACACACTTGCTGGTTTTTTTTTTTTTTGAGTTGGAGTCTCACTCTGTCACTCAGACTGGAGTGCAGTGGCATGCTCCCAGCTACCGCAGCCTCGACCTGCTGGGCTCTGGTGATACTTCCGCCTCAGCCTTCCAAGTAGCTGGAACTACAGGCACACACTACCACGCCCGGTTAACTTTTGATTTTATTGTAGAGATGAGGTCTCGCCAAGTTGCCCAGGCGGGTCTTGAACCCACGGGCTCAGGCAATACATTCACCTCAGCCTCCCAAAGTGCTAGGATTACAGGCTGAGCCACCAAGCCCAGCTGACACACTTGCTGTTAAAAAAAAAAGGCCAGTTTCACTTAAGAACGTCATTGACGAAACAGTAAAATTATTTTTTATTAAACCTTGACCCTTGAGTCTTCTTAGTATTCTGTATGATGAAATGGGAAGTACAAACAAAGACTTTTGCTGCATACCAAATACAATGGTTGTCTCCAGAGAAAGCATTTAAGCAACTGTGTTATAAGCTGAACTACTAGTTCTTTTTGTTGTTGTCACCACCACCAAATCTCTCTCATCTTCACAGTCAAAAGTCCTTTGTGCTTACTGTCTTCACTTTCTTACCACACCTCATTCAGCCGACTGCAATCTGGCTGCTGACTCTATGGTAACTGCTCTTGCTAAAGCCACCACCAGTAGTAGTCTGATTACCAAAACCCAGGGAGGCAGTTGAGTACTTATTTTACTTAACCTCTCTACTGTACCTTACATTTTTGAGCACTCTTTTCTTGAAACTCTAATAGTGATGCCAAGGTATTAACTTCTTTCCATCTTCCTAACCATTCCTTCTCTTCCCTACAGGCAGATATCTGCTCAATCTCCAGCCCAAATTCATATTTTAAACCCTAGATCTACATATGCAATTACCTATGGGATACCTCTACTTACATGGTTTAAAGAGGCCACAAACCTTATTGACCTTCCACAAAAATCGGCTCCTCGTCCTCTTAATGACATACCTTGGAAAACATCCCACCACCAACCTAAGTCAGAAATATAGCAATCATCTTACAGTCCTCCCTCTACTTCACCTTCCAAATATATTCTAATTTCTATAATTCTTCAATCATTACAGCAACTAATTTTAGGTCCTCATAATTTCTTAAGTAACAGGATCTCCCTTCCTCCAATTCTGACCTTTCCAATCCATCCTGTACACTGCTGACAAAATGAAATTTCTTAAAAGGCAAATCAAATTATATTATTCACTTGTTTAAAACCAACCCTACAGTAGGGATTCTGGGCTTGAGTGGAAACTATCCAATAAACACCCCAATATTCTGTGCCT